AGCGGCGGAGATGATCCCCGGTGAAAATCGAACCGTTTGATCGATGGGTCTTTAATTAACGGTCGAAAGGAAGCAGCCGAAGACGGGTCCGACTCTCGCGAAAGACGGAGGTTTAATAAGAAAAGTATTTATCGGAGGGGTCGGGGGTGGCTCGAGGACGGTATCCTTTGCGCGGCATGTAAATTAACCCTGAAATTTTAATGTCGGCCGCCGAGAGACGTTCGGATACTTTTCAAATAAACGATCGTCCGGTTGTCATTCGGCGTTCGCGCGTTTCGTCGCTGTAATTATGTTACCTTCCGCCGTTGTTTCGCAATTTCGTGTCTTCGATTCTTGCTGCAGTTCGCGTAATTGCGTTCGGGCGATTTTAAGGACGCGAGAATAATGAAACGAGGGGAACACCGATCCATTTTCCGTCGTTTAACTTTCACGGGGAACGCCGGCCGTTCTATAAATCGTTCGCGCGCTCGTCGCGGAGTCAATAATTATGTTATTATACGGGGACATCGATCGCGAGTCAAAGTGTTCCAGGGTACGCGCGTCCCGCCGCGTCTTTTGTTCGAGGGTTAATCGGTAGGCATCGTTCCGCACTCGTTAAAGAAATATTCAGGCGGTACAGGTGCGCGCCTAGCCGCGGCTAGCACCGGAAAGGCAAGAAACGGGGCAGCTGGCACCGTAATGGTCCGCGTCGCTCATTCTTCCGTCGTGGAAAAAGATAAATTGCGCTCGGCCAATGAGCACCGGTTAATTAACTAATAACGACCGCGTACAATCGATAGTACTCGGCGCAGAGCAACGCAAAAACAAGTAACCGTCCGGCCGACCCGAAGGAAAAACCGGCTACGAAAAATTCGGTACACGACCGTGCGCCTCGACTCGGCGAATCCTTGCATGTTCCGCATGCAGATCTGCTTCCTGTACCCTACCAAAGTAATCCTTCAACGGTTTTTCTGATTATTTGCCCATCACTTCCATTAAACCTCCTCCATTTCCTCCGGCATACACGCGTATCGACTGCGCTTCGGAATTCCGAGCCAACCATGGAATATCCGAAGCGCAAGGGATCATCCAAACAATATTCCTCTTTCTACAGAGAATAACGCGAGCATTCTCTTATTTGTAAAATCCCCGACGCAAACGTTATACGTACCGCGAAACATCGCTCCAGTATCGAAAGTCTGTTACCCAACGATCAAATAAATAAAGCCCGATCGCATTTCACATTTAGAATCTTCTATAGTAGCAGCGGTAGTTACAGAACACCGGTTTCCACTTCTACAACGGCACGACATTCGCCGGGCAAAAAGGTCGCAATCGTTGCAACATGTTCCCTCCTCGATCCCGCGTGCCGCGCGCCGTTCGTGGATCCGCGGATCGAACATAGTGTAGAAATAAGATCTCCTGGAAGAAGAAGGAAAAGAAGAAGAAGAAGAAGAAGAAGAAGAAGAACGACGACCGTGCTCCCCCCGTTTTCTTCCGGATTTCTATTCGTGATCGCTGCGGCAGAAGGCGGTCTGCGGGAGCTTTCTCCGGGCAGGTTTCGCGAAAAATCGGGGGCTCTCGAGTGAAAATCGGGCTCCTCGCCGGCGCACGCTCGCCGAACGGATCCGGCGGGCCAACGGAATCGGTTTTTCCGTCGCGAAACGAAAGCGGCCAGGTTTCTGAAATGCACACACTACGCTTCCCCGGGTGCGCGGCTCGCCGGTAGACGTTAGCCTGACCCACATAGGCATTTTTCCGATTCCGGCCGTGGCCGATAGAAAGCCAGCCGGCTGCTCGCGACTACGCGCGCCGCCGCGCCGTAGAAAGTTCCCATATAATTTCGCATTCTCTCGGTCGCGCCGGCATTATTGCGGTGAAAATTGGCAAATAATAATTGGACCTATTCTAGCCGGCAGCCGCACCGCGCCGCGCAGCTTTCGGCCCCGATATCGGCTTTCCGGCTTTATTATTCGGCCTGCGCGAGGAGCCAGCGCCGCGGATCGTGGTTGCACGAGCCTGGCCCCGGGTCCCGATCGGATTAATGAAATTACCAATTTCCTTTTTCACTGTTCACCGCGATTCACGGTTTTTCCGCGGCCACGTCTAGTCCCGTCGTCCACCGGATAATTAGATTTACCTGTCCGCGCGATCCTACGGTTCCCCAGACACATTCCTCGCGATCCTCTCTCCCCGCCGGCGTTGGAGAGACGTCGTACGTGGGAACGGATAGAAGTGACTCGTGCCAGAAACCCGGCAACGCACGTGTCCGTGTATTATTCCATTTATGCTCGAAACTGCGCCGCGGGGATGTATCGAAAGTGGCCGGGTAATACATTTAACTGCTTCGTAACTCTTGCCAGAAACGGTCGGTCCGATGTCTGGCGAAAAAGAAGGAACTCGGTACTTACCTTGATTAGTTCGAACATGTGTGTGTATATGTGTGCGCGTGTCCGGGAGCGTGTTTGCGAGGAACGTGCCGCCGGTCACGGAAGCTCCCGAATCGCTTCTAACGTCTGCGGTCGCCGCTTTTTTCGAGAATCCCGGTTCTCCCGCTAGCTTCTTCCGGTTCGAATCGATCGTTCGAGAGGGTTCTCTCGGTGTATTTGATGTCTCTCGGAATAGACGCTGACGCGATCGGCACAATGACGGTGGCGTTCGGGGTTCAACGGAAAAGGAATGGATTTTTTCTTGCCGGTGAGCCTGATCAAAGGTGTCTGGCTGGTTTTGCAGACGAGATTGTCGTCCCTGCTGAAAACCGCGGAGGATCTGCACATCAAGGGCCTGGCCGAGGTGAGCTGGCGCAGCGACTCGACACAGAACGACCTGAGCAACAGCGGGCACAGTCCCGGCGCGGCGACCCCCGGCGTCGAGACGGTCCTCAGGGAAGGTGACGCCGATGAACCACCGCCGCCGAAGCAGAGACGCAGAGGGCGTCCGCCTCTGGACGATCCACCCTCGGCCCACGATGTGTTCACGCCGAAAATCACCTGTATCACCGGAAATGTACGTCAAGTAGGGGAATTTCGTGTGTTTTTTCCTTATTCTAATTGTATCATTCTATCAAGTACGGAAACGTTACAATGAGATATCTGATATTGCAACGTTTCAATGGAATTTGATCCCTCTTTGAAAGATTTTGTTGATTCGATCCATCGTTTCCTTAGGAACTAGTCAGCAGTTAATGAAACGTTGAAAATGGTATAGTAAATTAGTAGGAACATAAACTAGTGACCAGTGACCCCAGAAAGTGGATACCCTGAATGTTTCCATCGCTGGAAACCTTTGTCGTCTAGGTTTTCTATATTAATGCTCCCCAAAGAAGAGTCACTGGTTATTTTTAATCCATGGTGCTCTAAATCCTGCTACGGTATTAATTAGTTACGTAGCGTGTTGACCTAGTTTACAGTAAACTTAGGCAATTATTAGCATCATGACCCACTTACCGCGCACCAGATGAGAACCACTGATGCACTCTGTAGTACACTAAATTCCGTTGCGATATTAGTTTATTACACAGCACGATGACCCACTTTGTAATAAACTAATATCGCAACGGGATTTCGTGTGCCGCGGAGTGGCTCAGCGGTTCTCATCTGGCGCGAGATAAGGTGGATCGTTATGTAAAAGTACGAAAATTATCCGCGGCGGATACGGAACCAGTGAAAACTGAAAGTGAACAGAAAATGATTCCCGATCAAAGTTGGGATAATTAGAGAGCGCGCGGTATCATAAATTTATAAGTTACGTTTCATCGTCGAGCGGCCGCGGAATGTTAAAATTCCGACGAATAAAAATTCAAGAGCAAAGTAACGCCGCCCGGAGCCCCTACGCGCGCCGCCACAAAGAGTCTGAATTTTCTAACGGTGTTCGAACCTGTTTGATTTCCCAGGAGGAAATGATGAGCGAGGGCGGCGACCACGAGAGCTGGGACGACGAGATGATGATGAACGAGAATAACGAAACGCCACTGCCGGTGGTAAGCGACTGTTTCTTTAACGTTTCACACTCGATTTCTACATCGAAATGACCGATATATACGTATCATATTAACATCCGGTGTCTCGTATCCCTTTTTCCAGCTATCGTACATGTCCAAGGATGACAACGCATCCGATCAGGAAAAGAAAGGTACGGCGCGCGAATTAACTAGACATCTCACGTTCCGATGGGACTCGTTGATTTCCAGACTAACGAGAGACAAAACGAACATTGTCCCGACATTTGAAACCTCTCTCGCGTATCGCCCGCGCAGCATCGTTCCGCGTACAAACACGCGCGCGCGCGCGCGTGATCATCGTTGAACGCGTGAAGGATCTAACGTCGTTTGATTTTGCTGCAGTGCCCACCACACCCTCGAATTCCAACGCCACGAACCCATCGATTCCCGAGCAATTCCGAGACGTCGTGAAGATGAACGATTACCTGACGACGGGACGCCGCCAAGAGTTCTGGGAGGAGCCGTTCACGCGACGCGTTATGGACGCCATTAAGAGCAAAGAACTGGAAATGAAGACTGCCGCCGAGCTACTCGGCGTCTCCTACGGAACCCTCTACGGCAGATATCGCGACAGTTATGGTTGCCTTAAACATCCGTATAGGTAAATGGAAGACCACTTGACGATCCCACCCCCGGCCAACCCTCGGGCCCTCGGTCCTCGATCGCCTTTGTCACGACCCCCGGGTCACAGCCCTCCTCTGTCTTTTACGAGCGGATCTTAAACGTACAGAAATAAGAGGACGTGCCCCTCAGACCGCCGTAACTTCCGCTCGGTGGAATTCTACTTCATCGGGAGCCATTGCTCCAATTACTACATGTATTATACATGGCATTTATATACTTCGTGTACCTATATTCCGTTTCTAGATCAAAGGAAAGATGACGCGTTTAATCGTTTAAAAAATTGAGTAAGAAGCATAATCGAATGAGAGAAACAGCGAAACATCTGAAGCAAACCCAATGTCCCCACGTTCTCACCTTTACGGTCCCTGTACCGGTTATCCGAACCAATGGAAAAGAATGTGGAGTGAAATCGGTGCGTTTGTTCACAGAGTAAGGGACTTCTGGTCCGAGCCTGGGCCAGCGGAAGTGCTCGCGAAGCTACGAAGGAAGGAGATCACGTTGTTCCGTGCGGCCGAGGTGCTGAACGTGACCGTGCACACGTTGGCCACCTATCTGTCGACGCTGCAGGGCCCGGACAGGATCTCGTTGGCCGGCGACCTGAGCGTCGCGTCCGGCGCGTTCGACGGCAACAACGAGACGCCGGAGAACAACGAGTCGATGAACGACATCCTGCAGAAGATCAACGCGAACGCGGCGACCACGGCGACGCCGACCACGTCGACGCCGATCAAGCGCGAGGGCGGCGGTTACATCGAGGTGCCGACGCCCGTCTCGAAGGCGGCCACCTCGGTGCTCGAGAACAACCCGGACATCACGATCGTGAAGGCGGAGAACATGCCCCGGAAGCGGGAGTACGCGAAGGTCTCGAACACGGAGAACAACAACGCGAAGCTGATGAGCGGCGGCGCGGTCAGCGAGCTGACGCAGCAGCAGCAGCCGGCCCAGCAACAGCAGAAGATCACCGATCCGCTGTCGTTAAACAACGACAACAGCAAACCCTAACTATTCAGGCCTTATCTGCAACCGGCGAATCCCCGTGCACCGAGCGCTAGCTACAACAGGTCCGAGCTGTGCCCGCGCAGATTCTATTCGAACGTGTTTACTCGCTTTCTCACGAATTTTCATTTGAAGTAGAAGAGAGGACGATGGAGAAGACGCGCGGAGCGAACACGATGGATTCTAT